TCTGAATTATCAACCAAAATGATCTGTCTACCTCCTAACAGTGCAACATTCACCATTAAACCATCAACATCCATCCTATGTTGAATTTGTCTCACCATATCTAGAGATCGGACCACAGCCACCATACTCCTATTCAACCAAGCCACTTCCTCATCACTCGGTAAGAATTCGAAAACCAAATCGCCTTATATAGGAGACGATGCTCTGGCTACCCCTTCTGTTATCAATGGCACAGATAGTTTCTCTGAGGTTTTTTCAGGCATCACTGCAGAAGCCTTCATCGAGAAACCCTCCATGCATTCCCGTTTGCTGTTTCCTCCATCTTTCTCGTTGCCATCAATTGTCTATCCCCTTTGTTCGAGGACAAACCTTCCGCAATTGCACCCGGACTAGCAGCAATAGCCTGTGCATACGACCTCCCAAGTCTCACCCTCGCATCCCTTCTGACCCATTGTTTCTCTTCCCTTCTGTTCTGTTTTGAGCCACCCTAAACTCAACCTTTCCTTTTTTTCATATTCTCTGCCACCTTCACTTTAAGGCAATAGGAGTCCAGCCAAATCTAGTTTAGTATCCTCTCCATGTCCTTGACATCAAAGGTACCCGCCATACGCGCAAACCCAAACCGACGACCTCTTCGATCACGCCTTGTGGGAATATACACATCCGCCACCTTCCTATATGACCAAAAACAGAACCATAGATCCTTTGTTGAACGATCCTCTAGGAAATCATAGAAGAAAAACGTTGTAGCCTGCTCTAGGAACCCCTTGCCGAACCCTAGAAGCCGCCTCCGAGCCCCACTATTCTTGGTTGTCGAGAACCTTGCTCTAACCCTAGCACTCTCTCTTTCTCTCTCTCATATCGTAAAAACATTTAAATAGATTAAAAATATATGAATAAATTTACAAAAAAAAAATCTTAATATTTAAAGTGTCAAAATGTTTTAATTATTACCTTTTTTAAAAAAATTTTATTGCCATAAAAAATAGATTAATTTTATTAATAAGAATCTGAAAATTTTCAATATTAAGTAACATATGTTTGGGTTGAGGGAATGGGGGCGAGGGAAAAAAATTTTTTAATCTTTTTTAAGTTTGTTTAATTATCCAAATAAGGGAGAGGAGGAAAATGATGGAAAATGAAAGGATGGAATTTTTTTTTTTTTTGTTTTATTTCTATCCACTCAAACATGTGGTAATTAAAAAAACAAAAGAAGGAACCTAAAAACCCAAGCGTAAATAAATTGTTTTGCCATTCTTCAAATTTTAAGGGCATGTTTGATTGAAGCCTTCCTTGGAAGAAGAATATGAGATAGCTGACTAAAAAATAGTTAGGCTTCGTTTAGGAAATTAAATTTCCTAACATGCAAATGCAAAATGGGACACATTATAATTAGTTATAATAGAAACGTTGTTTTATAATATAATCAATTATGTTACTTTTCTTTTAAAAATCTCGTAAAATAACCTTTTTTTAAGAATGATGATATAATTGATTACTTTACTACCATAACCAATTATAATGTATCTCATTTTACATGTTAAAAAATTTATTTTTCTAAATCAAGCCCCATTATCTTTTAGTTAGCTTTCTTGAATTCTTTTTTCAAAGAAAGGTTTTAGCCATATAGGCCTTAAGAGTCTGTATAATGAAGAACAATATAAAATTTTATTTTAATATTATATTATTATAATTTATATTTAAATATATACTCCTTAAATAAATTTTTTAATATATATTTAAAAAAAACTTTTTAAAAAATCATATTAATATTATTTAATTTAATTTAAAAAATGTAAATTTAAAAAATAAAACGGAAAATCAAAGTACAAATTTGCACCGCCTGACATGTGTCCGGCTGTGCAAATTTTAAAGGCCCCAAAATTAATACAAAATGCAAAATAAAGAAGAAGAGAGCTGATCGTGCAGAGAGACAGCTCACTTTGAGAAAATGTCTCTGTTGACTCTCACCTCTATTTTCTTTTTAAAGATAAAAGTAGAAGAGAATTTCCATTATACAACTTTTAAATTAGATAATTATTAAAAATTAATAACTTTATTTTTTTAAGTTGTACAATAGTTAGTAAGAGTTTCAGAGTCTACTCTCTCATTTTTTATAGGTATATATTATCTATATTATAAAACTCCAAATTAAACTCAAAATTTTTAAATTTTATTAAAAAATTGTTATTAAATTATTTAAGCTGTTAACCTATTCTATTATTTTTGGTTAACTTTTAAATTTTTTTAAAAGGAAAAGAAAGTAACAAACTCATATCTATAATTTTTATTTTAAAAAATTACTACTAAATAATTTAATTT